TAACCCAGTGAGTTAAAGAAATTCCCAAACAAACAAACAAATTGCCAAGCACCAGCAGCAATGCAGAAAATGAAACAATACAATACCCCACGTCTATCCTCACCCTAGTCCATTTTCCACCTACATGGTTCGGTTCGGCTCCACCCCACCCTGCACCCGTTTTGTGTATTCCCACTGTGACTCCCGCCTCCTTTCGGACCACTTTTTCAGACCTCCTCTCGAGGTAGTACTGAGGACAGCACCGTTTGGGGCGTGCAGGTGCTGAAGTGTGTAGCAGTCACGAATGGCCAGTGGAGCTACCTGGATGAAGTGGTTTATTAAGAGCAAGTTGAGGTTTTCCAAATGATGACTGCGCGTTGGGAGAAGCTAAAAATATATTGAGCCGGAAGGACCACAACAACAGCCGGAGTGGCTCAAAGCAGTGGGACTAGAGCTGCTTTAGTTAAATGGAGGGGATCTCTCTCTACAGCCATCGTTCTGTCTGCTGCTAACTGTAGACTGGACTCTTCACAAACTTCATCTGCAGACGGTGAGTGCTTCGTGCATTTAGTGAGATATTGAAAATAATTTATGGGACACGTGTCGCTTGTCAAACTGTACTTTTTACTTATAAAGTTTGTTCCGATGTGTCGTTTGTGTATGTTTGTTTCCAATGCTAACTAGTTAGCAGCTAGCGGCTATTGCTAGTTAGCGATCGAGGCTAAAAACAACACCACCAGCTCTACATTTATTGTAATTAGTAATTAATGTTGACCGTATTCAAGGCTAATCGTTGGTTTTCTGTTCAGAATCACCTTCGACAAGTAACCAGCTGAGTTTCTGGACCGTTTCTCCACCTTCTCCTACACCTGTCGGTATCAGCTGCCTCGTGTAGAGGTTCCCCAAAGGGGAAATAAACATTTCCACTTGTCTTTGACTCTAGTTTAAAAAATCCTTTCTCAAAAGAGACATTTTATTTTCTTTAATAAACAAAATAATAATCTTCTTTATGTTTTTGATTTAAATTCTCTTTTTAACTAGAAGTTATCATTTTATAAATCAAAGTTGTCTAATGAATTAATCTTTTACATTATACTTCAAGAAAGGAAAAACACACCATGAGAAAATGGTTGAAATGTTCCTTTATTTGTTTTACACAAATGCTTGTTTAATCAACTATTGTTTTACAGTAAAGTGATTACCAGTAAGTGTTTTTCTTTTATTGTTCAATGTAACTAAGTTGATTGTTGTGATTATAACTTCACTGAGTTTATATTTTGAAATACGCTTACAGAAACATGTGTTTTAATTTTAGACAAATATTTTTTAGATTTCTTTCAGTTCAGTTTTGCTTCAGTGAACTTTTGTCATTTTTAAAGTGTCAAAGTTGGAAACTTGTTTTCCTAGAAACAGGTGCAAATATGTTTTTCTGCTCTGGCAAGCATCTCCAGACTAAATATTCATTTTCTTCCTACCACCAACTCAAGGCCGTTTAGCTTCTCTTCAGAATACTAACACAATTTGGACAGTCTGAGAGAACGAGAGAAAACGAGAAACAACAATTTTTTGTCTCAGCTGATCTTCCTTCGGGAAGCGCAGCCCCGACAAAGATTTTTATATCAAGTGCCAATGAGAAAAAGTTTTCTGTCTTGAGCTAAGGTAATGCCAGCCTTAAGCTCCATTATTGAACTTTTACTTTGAAAGAAGAGAATTTGAGCAACAAGCTGGGCTCCGGTCTCCTGACTAGGTGCAGATCTTCTGAGACGCAGTAAAATAAAAACCCTGGGAGTCGTACTGGTCGTAAGTTCTCCTGACCTGGATGCCTAACGTACCGAGTCTTCCTGACCATCAGCTAACCTGCCGGTTGAATCACCAAAAGGTAGAAGCTGTTTTTTGTAAGTGTATGAGATCCAGCTGATGGGGAGACGCAGACACCTGGGGCTGTTCTGGTTCTCACCTCTTGATAAATTGATAACAATTGATAAATTGATAACAATTAAATCTTTTACTAATCCTCCTTTTTCTTTACTTTTCTAAATCTAAAAACCTTGCCACAAAGTTAAAGTACCTGTAAGCTGAGTGTTTGATAAGATCCAAGCCTAGTTTACTGTTTTGTTCTTTCTGAGTCTTGTATTTACAGTAAATCATGTCGGACGCGAAGTGTTTATTGTCAATATTTTGTCTCATAAAGTTCTGATTATTAACCTTAATTTGTACATAGTTAGTTCATTTTATTCTGTAAATAAATATTCTTTATTTTAGAAGAACTTTTGAACTGACTGGAACTACAAATTATTGTGTGTTTTCTCACTTCCATCGTGGAGAGGTATTTATCTTTCAAGAAAAAGAACCCGTATTTTCCTCATTAATTTGAGAAGGTGTGTAAGAGTCTCCTACACTCGCTATCCGGGTCGAAGCAGCCAGGGGCTGGGCAGCAGAAGAGCTGCTTCGGTTACATTCGGACTTTAAAGTAGTTTTTTAGGTGGTTGTGTGATTTTAAAAATGTAGTTATATATTGTCTGACTTTTATTTTGTGCAATAAAGATACTGTTGGCATTGCTGTTTGTTTTTCATTTAGTTAAATCCATACAGAAAAAAATCAACATATTTTCTCACACTCCTAGGCATAAAGTGTGCAGTAACTGTAATTTAATTTATTAGAAAATCATTTTGGTTTTGTTTTACTGCATTTATAAGCAACGGTTTGCTGTAGCAGGGTATGAGTATTATTTACAGGTTAAATATCAGACTTTTTATGTCAACAGTTAGCTTTAGCACAGAATGAGCAATGAAAAACAGCAGCTTTAGCGCTGCTAGTTTAATTATACCACCCATTTGTAAAAGATGTTACCGCCCACAGAGCGGGGACCCTAGTTACAGTGGAAAAACAACTAGACCCGAGTAGAACCGCTTCAAACCTGCCTGAACTGAGCCGAGCGGAGCCAGATTCAGCAGTGGACAAAAGGACTCCTGTCTCCTGAAAACAGGAGCAGGTGTACGGAGGAGATGGTTTTGGAAACTAAAGTTTTGTGGTGCTTGTTAACGGAGCAGTCTTTCACTGTCAGCGTCCTCATGAGTGGTTCCTGTTCCTGTATCAATCTTTACAATTTTTGTAGATAATTGTTAGACATTTGTCTTCCATTCTGTTAATTTTGGTTGCAATAGCACTTTCAGTCAACGTGTGTTTAACACCACAGTTACAGATTTAATTTAAAGATGGTTTGTTCAGTTTAATACCATCTAATATTGTTTATATATAGTAAGTTGTCTTATGAAAATGAAACAAAATGTTGGAGAAATAACGTTTTTTTTGCTTTGTTTTGTTTTCTTGTTGAAAGACCAAAAATAAAAGGTATTGAAAGTAACCAGTTTCTTTTTGTTAACTCTGAAAAAATATTCAACATGTTGTGTGTTCAGAGATGCTCTTCTGCAGACCTCAGTTGTAACGAGTGGTTATTTGAGTTAAAGTTGCCGTTCTATCAGCTCCAACCAGTCTGGTCATTCTCCTCTGACCTCTGGCATCAACAAGGCATTTGTGCTCACAGAACTGCTGCTCACTGGATATTTTCTCTTTTTCGGACCATTCTCTGTAAACCCTAGAGATGGTTGTGGGTGAAAATCCCAGTAGATCAGCAGTTTGTGAAATACTCAGACCAGCCCTTCTGGCACCAACAACCATGTCACGTTCAAAGTTACTTATATCACCTTTCTTCCCCATACTGATGCTCGGTTTGAATTGCAGCAGATTGTCTTTGTGGCATTCTGTGCACTCACCCACCTTCCTGAGGTCTGACAACTTGATTGACACCAGCTGGGGCGGATTACTCCGGATGAGCTTCATGTTGTATAAGGCAGCACTGAAGATCAGTTCCTCACTGGAGCATCACATACCTCATGGTCTCTACTCCTAGCCGCTCTGAGAATTTGATATTCTTGAGCTTTGTTAACCTTTGTCTCTCTGTGTTCAGTCAACCATTTCACTCCATGTTGTTTGCTCACCTGTGAACTCTACTTACCTGGAACCTGCCCTTTCACCTGCCCGTCTGCCTCGCTCTCTCATGGAAGGATACTCACCTGCCTGGTCCTCCTGTCTATCTGCCACCCTACCTGTAAACTCACCTACTTACCTCCCGGATCCAAGTCTGTCCTCTTTGCGCCGAACACCTCTCTGTTACTCACCTGCCCAACAATAGTCACCTGATAAACTTACCTGCAATAACCAGCCCACCTTCCTCTCTTACAGATCTGGGACCCAACCTGCCACCTGTAAATAAAAGCACTTACCTTTTGTATAAGTTGTCTCTGTCTGTTTTCTACCAGCCGCTCACCTTTGACTGTCCTGAAACTGATTGTCTTGGCAATGTCTACATGCCTAAATGCATTTGCTGCCATGTGATTGGCTGATTCAACATTTGCGTTAATGAGCAGTTGGACAGGTGTACCCAATAGTGGCCGTGAGTGTGTGTGTGTGTGTGTGTGTGTGTGTGTGTATATATATAGTGGTTTGTTTAGTGTTCATTTAAGTCCTTAATGGGAAACCCCCTGATCTTTTTTCTCTTGTTGTGCTGAGGCACAACAACATGCACAATTCACCTGTTTGTCACACCTGAAAACATCCATGGCTCCACTCAAATCAGTCTTTAACAGTGGGGAAACATAAGGTAACCCATAAATCCATAAACCTGTGACTGTCACATTGAACAGTTTGACTTTTATTTACATAACGCATTATTTATCTGAAAGAAACTAGTGGTTGTGTTATAATGTTGTAATCATGTGATATTCTGTTGTATTAATCCACATTATAAACAGGAACACACAACTACTACTCCATCAAATTTGAACCGTTTCAGTTATTTTTATCTTCACTAATCAGCAGCAGATCCATCAGTTATTATTTCTGAGAGTTCATCTAAAATCTGCCCAGTGGTACATGAAATATTTTACTAACAGATGGGCCACCTGGGCAGGTCAAACTAAATGTTGGTCAGGCTCAGCTTCTTTCTGTTTTGTCTGTCCAGAGTTCAAGAAGTCGTTTTCATTGGAGGTGTCCATCAGGTGGATGTCAATGGAGAAGACATACCCAGAAAAGCAGCAGGGTCTGCAGAACAGTCGACAGAACCTGCTGCCTCGAGTGTTCTCCCAGGCCTCAGCCCTGCCTCTGTCTGTGTGTCCCCCTCCCCCGGGGTTCAGCAGAGTGGTGGGAGGACCTGCAGCCCTCCGAACCCTCCACCCTCCTCCTTCCAGCCACTTTTGGAGTTTCTGATGCTCTTGCAGAAAATGTGTGAAGAACTTGGTTTGACCTTCTGTTGGGACACGTTTCGTTTTTTTACAGCCAAAGTTTTTAATAGTTTGTATGTAGTTTAGTGTGCATGTTTTGGTTTTATAATAGGTTTGGAGTTCCTCATTTTTTATTAAAATGAGATTTTGAAACAATGAAAGGATTCTGGTGCTTTACTTTATATATGCTTCCTTTAGGTAAAATTACTAAACAACGTAGGATACTTTTCCTTTGTTAGGCTGATGATACTCAGTTATATTTATCCATGAAACCTGATGAATCCAACCAGTTAATTAAACTACAAGCATGTCTCACAGACATAAAAACATGGATGGCTCTTAACTTTCTGCTTCTAAACTCAGATAAGACAGAGGTTATGGTTCTTGGACCTGAACATCTTAGGGATCAACTTTGTAGCCTTTCAGCTCCTTTGGATGGCATTAATCTGGCCTCCAGTTCTAATGTAAAGAACCTTGGTGTTATTTTTATCAGGACATGTCTTTTAACCCCCATATTAAAAATGTTACCAGGACCGCCTTCTTCCACCTGCGTAATATCATTAAAATTAGAAATATTTTGTCTTCAGTTAATTCAAAATGCTGCTGCTTGAGTTTTAATGAGAGTTGGAAGGAGAGGAAATAAGATAATAAAGGGGGCTAACAAATAAAATCCATTAAAATCCTTTTTAGAAGTGCATTGTCTTGTCCAGAGGTGTCCATCCTGGTTCTCGACGTCCACTATCCTGCATGTTTGTTTCTCTGTTCCAAGTTAACACACCTGGTTCAGTGACTGAGTTATGGAGCCAGTGGATCAACCAGTTGTGTTGGAGCAGAGAAACGTTTAAAACATGTAGGATGGTGGGCCTCCAGGACTGGGAACCACTAGTGAAGAATACTTTTCACAGGTAAAATAAGCATTTTTTAAAACTAGATCCAGACCACAGTTCAGTATTTATGGAACACCTGGTTTATATTGTTGGCATGAATCACTACATTTGGAGTTGTTTCAGACAGCAGCAATCATTTTGGTTCAAGATATTGCCTTCCTGCTCAATTCTAACCTCTCCCTTCTCTGCTCCATCTATTTCTCCCACTGACATGGATTTATCGGTAGAGTTTCATCTGGGCCAATCAGAGAACAGAAGGAGGCATTCTGAAAGATGACATTGCTTTTCTGCTCTTTCAGTTTGCCTGTAGTTTATCAATGACAGCAGAGGGAATGAAGCCATTCAGTCTGTGTTGACAAGGCTTCCAAATTAAATTAAATTTATCTAAAAAAAAAAAAAAAAAACCTGCAGCTCTCATTTACAGCCATCTCATTCAGCTCAGTACTTCTCTCTTCCCAGTAGGGGATGGTTATAGCACACACAATTTCCAGTCAGCTTCTTAGCTTAGCCTCCTTCACAGTCAAGCCGGCACACTGCATAAGTCACAGCCAAATGTTAGGAATTGAGTAAAATCAGATCTAATAATTTTAAACTTCAACAGAGACCACGCCTCCAGCAAGAAATTGTGCAAAGTAAAGAACAAGGGTCTGGTTTTCACAAGGCTAGTTCTAGACCCACTTGAACTAACCATTAGCTGGTCAGAATCTGATTTTGTTCCTCCAAACTGAGCTCATTTAAAGAGGTATCTACAGGTACCATAGTTATTTGTTATATATAACCCTTCCACAAGTCCACTTCTAAAAACACAATATAAAACTTTATTTCTCCAATTAAACAAAAATAAATCTGTTATATTTTTTCTACAGATTACCACAACAGACCTTAATATAAGGAAATTTATTTACATAAAATAACCCATACATCAACAATTCTGTCAAAAATTATTAACATAGATGTCATAAAAAGAATGCAAAATGTACATTTATGCATCGTGTCAACATTTTAGTCAATCGGCTGTCACATCTTGTTGCCGAGGCTAAGGCTTGGATGTAGGAGGAGTTCTGTGAGGTCTTGGAAAGAGAATCAACTCAGACAAGATTTTGGGGTGTGGACAAGATCTGCCCTGATTTTCTCAAGGCTCTGGATGTTGTGGGCAGAGGTCTATAAAGTACTAAAAAAAAAAACTTAGCAAAAGTAAAATTACATGAACAGAAAAGGACTTTGGCAAAAATTAATTCCACTGATGAGAAAACTACTTAAGTAAAAGTCATAAAACTGTTCACAAAAATTGGGAAAGTAAAAGTAGAAGTACTTTTACACACTCTCTAAGAAATGAACTGCTGAATTTAAAAAGAAAAAAATTGTATAGGTCTTCTGGACGGGTTCTCTAATGAAACGTTTCATCTCTCCTCCAAGAGACTTCTTCAGTCTGAGAGTTTCAGGCAAAATTCAGGCTTTTAAGCCCTGCCTCCATGTGACTGATACTCACATCACATGGCTATCGTTGACACCTAATTAACACTTATTGTTAACAGGGGGTGGAGTGATACTGGCAATAGCCGCACTGTAGGAGGGGGACAACTGAAAACAGAGGCCTCCACCTCTGTTTAATGATGGACGGTCTTTCTTCACAAAAATGGCTTCTTTTACTCCTCTCAAACCAACGTTCCTCTCTATCAAGAATGAGAACATCCTCATCTCTGAAAGAGTGACCGCTGGCCTGTAAATGAGTGAAAACTGCAGAGTTCTGGCCATTAGAATTAGCTCGTCTGTGTTGGGACATTCTTTTGAACAGTGACTGCTTTGTTTCCCCGATGTATAACTGGTCGCAGTCCTCCTGGCACTTAACTGCTGAATTTACTGAACTAAACTGGTTCCACTAAGCCATTGAACAATATATGTTTATTCTTTGCTCAATTTACTCAACTAATCTTAGTGGAGCCGGTTGACACGACTTTGTTGAGTAAATTCAACACTTCATTTTTAGAGTGCAGAAACATCTTTTTTCATGATGAGTTTGGTCATATTTAATTTTGTAACAAGTAACTGTGTTACATTTTAAAGTAAAGAAGTAAAAGTATCCTTTATAGCTTTAAAATGTAGCAAAATAAAAGTATCTCTTTAAAAAAATTGGTAAAATTACAAATCCTCAAAAAAAGTACTTAAGTACTGTAATAAAGTATATGTACTTAGTTACTATAAACCTCTGGTTGTGGGGCTGTCTTGGTTGACACGCCGGCCTTTGCATTGTGTGGACACCGGGGGCAGTGCCACAGGATTAGCAGACTGGGGTGGAGATTCCTTTTTAAAAAAGGGACCGGAGGGTGTGCTCCAATACAGGGGCTTCACTCTCCTTAGCCTCCACAGTAAGGTCTTTTCAGGGGTACTGGAGAAGAGAGTCTTATCGATGGTCAAACCTCAGATTCTGGAAGAACAATGCAGGTTCAATCCTGGCTGTAGAGCAATGGACCAGCTCTTTACTCTCACTAGGATCCTCAAGGGGTCATGGGAGTTTGTCCATCCAGTCTACATGTTTTGTGAATTTGGAGAAGGCATTCGACCGTGTTACTTGAGATACACTGTGGGGGGTGCTACACGAGTATGGGACTGTGGGTCTGTTGTGACGGGCCATTCAGTCCCTAAACAAGCAGTGCAAACATTTTGTTCACATAGTTGGACTCTGCCAGGACAGTCTATTATCACAAACAGAATTTCTCAGTGCAGCCAGGGTTTGGAGAGAGTCCAGTTTGGTGGGCTCAGGATTCCATCTCTGCTGTTTGCAGATGATGTGGTTCTGTTGGCGTCATTGCGCCAGGATCTTCAGCTCTTACTGGTGGTTCACAACCGAGTGTGGAGCAGACGAGGATCAGCACCTCCAAATCTGGGTCCATGGTCCTCAGTCAGAAAAGGGTGGATTGCTCTCTCCAAGTTGGGGATGAGGTTCCACCTCAACTAGTGGAGTTCAAATATCTTGTCCACGAGAGAGGGATAAATGAAGTGTGAAATTGATAAGACGTATCGGTGCAGCTTCCGCAGTGTTGCAGACTCTGTACCAGTGTGTTGTGGTGAAGAGGAGCTGAGCTGTAAGGAGAAGCTCTGTTTACTGGTCGGTCTACATTCCTACCCTCACCTATGGCCACAAACTTTGGGTAGTGACCGAAAGAACAAGATCGTGGTTACAGGAGGTCGAAATGAGTTTTCTCTGCAGGGGAAAGACTCAGAGTTGAGCTGTTGCTGGTAGAGATAAAGACCTGGACGCCTCCCTAGGGAGGGGTTCTGGACATGTCCAACTCAGAGTAGATCCCTGGGAAGATCCAGGACATGCTGGAGCGACAATACTGCCTTTTCCACTAGTGCCACTTAGTGCAGTGTCGGTACGGTTCGGTACGGTTCCAAGCTATTTCCATTAGGTCAGATTCATGGAACCAGCCCTTTTTTTAGTACCTACTTCGTTGTGGTTCCAAGTGGCCCCAGCTGACACCAAAATGCAACGTCAGAACACTGTTCTTCACTGATTGGCTAGGGGGTGGAGTCACTGGTTGCGTCTAAGCTGCCTTTACAAGAACAACTCGAGGCACCATTTTTTCTATTGTAGCAGTGACATTAGTTGTTTCCATCCAATTTTAATTCGAATTTTTAGCAAATTGTTAAAATTTCAAAAGTTATTCGTCAAATTTGTTTCCATCTCTCATTTTGCGCAATAACTTTTTTCAAAAAACCCAAAAACCACCTCCACCAATCGCCCAAAACACACCCAATGGAACTGAACTGGAACGTCAGTGGAAAAGCACCCGAACTGACCCGTTCCAACACTGACCGTACCGACACTTCACTAAGTGGCACTAATGGAAAAGGGGCTGGTTTGGGAACACCATGGATGGATGGATGGATGGATGGATGGATGGATGGATGGATGGATGGAGAGCAGATGATGAAAGGTTTAAAGTCACAAAGATTGGAGCATTTAGCATCAGCTCCACAGAGAATCCTCCAGCAAGAAGTAGACCGGAACGTTCTTGGATCAGATTCATGCAGTCTCCGTTCATCAGGACATAAGAACAAGGTACTCTCCCAGTTTTCCACCACTTACACAAAAACATCAGTTTGTAAATTTTATTGTTTTCATTTTGTTTTTGAACATTCTCCAACAATTATGCTGCCAAAATATTGTTTTTGAATTACAAAAACTCAAGCTTGTAAATAACCACCACTGATTCTCCCCAGAAAATTTAGCTAGAGTTAGTAAAACATTCAGTCATTTCATGACCTCAGCTGTTATGAAACCTCAAATAAGAGCCCATCTTTAGGTCCAGGGGGAGGTGGACCTAGAATTTATTTTCTTTGTTTTAGTTCATTAAAATGACATTTTTTAAAATGTGAAAAACAAAAGTTTTGACACTCAATAAGTAATTGTGACTGAATTGTCAAACATTCCTAATCACAGTAAATAATGTTGGATCAGGATAGTGACTGGAGCTTCAGTATTTAAAGGTAACGTGGTTTTGACAAAGATGAAACATTAAAGATTTACTTGTCGTCTGGTGCTTTTTAAAATGATGAGGCCTGCTTTTGTTTTACAGTTTACAGTGTTAATCAGTAAAAAGTGAGTGCCATAGGACAGCATGTTGATGGGAAAATTGACAATTAGGGAGTGAAATCTATGGAAACATTCATTATTTTTTAAACACTGAACCATAAACTGCTGTCGGCTGAGACTTCTGAGAAAACAGAAAGAAAAGTCAAGCACCTGTGAGAAAAATGAAACATCGCTGCCAAAATAACTTCTAAACATACGACCAAGCTACAGTACTGCAGCTCTGATCCCAGATCAGTAAATCACGACACAAAACAAGCTCAACACATGGCAGACACTGATATAACACAAAAGGAACTGTTCAGAACCTTTTCACAGAACCACACTTCTAAATGTCTGGATTGTCCCTTTAACAGAACAACACCTGTATCTGCTGAAAGATCTGAACAGTGACATGAATATCAGGAGAAGAAAAAAAAAAACTAAAAAACTGACGTTCAAGTGAAGGCTCGTAAAAACCCAATTAAGCCAAACAGATGAACTCATTTTATACACAGAGGTAGAAAATAAACTATCAGCATCTTTACCAGGTGGAGTTTAGTGAACAAAAAAGAAGTTCAATAAATAAACTTTGGCAAGAAACTGTTTACAAACTTCTTGTAAAGTTGAAGAAAAAACAGTTTACAGTTGAGTCATTTGCCTGGTGAGGAGCAGAGGTGCTGTAAAAACCCACCCCGACAGGAATCTGCTCTCTAAAATCATAAAGATTTCCAATATTCTGTTGTCCTATTAAAAAGTTGTTGCTAATAACAGTTTCATTTTGGCTTAAAGTGGATTTAAAACACCCGTCAGGTGCAAGGAGAACAGCTCAGGAGGAAATGACCATATTAGGACATTCAAAAATAAAATATACATCATGAATTAAAAGCTGTAGATGTTCTGAATGTTTATTTTGAAACATCATATTTTAAATATTTTACCACTAACATCCTTTTTACAGTTACAACACAGACTGAACCTTTATTTCCTGGCTTTATGCAACATGTTTATAACTTTTGCACACTCCAGAACTGTCAGGCTGATGTTTCTGTTCAGAGAAGAAACGTTGACATCATGTATCACCAAGGCTGCTCTGGTAAGAAGATGCACCATGTTACTGTGGCTTTCACATTAAAGAGTTTTAGAAGTGCGCCGTGGGAACCACAGCGTCAACTACACAATGAACTGTTTCCTGTTTCGGCTCGTTTTCTGTTCAGTGGAAATGACGTTTTTCAGGTCGTCTGTTTTCTCTGTCCGTCAGAAATCCGAGTAACTGCACAAACGCTGAAGAAGCTTTAACATGCATGTGAAAACCTCCACTGATGGTGTGCACCGCGGAGCGTGCACCTCGTTTCATCCTGCTTTCCTGAGGAGTCCAGCTAGCTGCTGCCGGTGTGAGGGGTGGGTGGGGCTCAGAAAGGAGAGTTCATACCCAGCTTTGTCTCAAACTGCAGCTTTTGTCTCTTCTGGTAGCGAACTCGCACCCTGAAAGACAAATCAGAGCAACAAACTCATGTAATCTGCTTTTTTTTTTTCCAAACATTCACAGCTAATCCCCACAGAACAGCTGAGCACACTTTGGTTTGACCTCAGCTGTAATGTTGGGGAGTAATGGACCAACATGTCTAAGCTATGAAAGTATTTTAGAAAATAAAAGAGATCAGTTCAGCAGTTACTTCTAACATTTGCAATTTGGGTAAGAAAGGAAAAGAACTATAGCTCCCTCCTAAAGTATTAGAATATCAAGTCAAATTCTCTTGTTTTTGTTGTTTACTGAAGACATTTGGGTTTAAGATCAAAAGATGAGACAAGAGTTCTGAATGAATGTCAGCTTTTATTTCCTGGTATTTACATGTAGATGTGTTAAACTACTCAGAACATACCACCCTTACCCCTAATTTACACTACTTGTGTTCCGTCTCCGCTGCGCAGGTCGCAGCTGTGTGTTTCAAGTCCAGTTTACACCTCCGCTCCACTCAGCTCCGGTCCGACAGACGTGCAGTAAGGAGATCGCGCGATAAATTCAGTAATAAGTGTGGAAGTCACAGCAAAAAATAATTAATTCTGTGAAAGACGAACTCCAAACACAGCTGAAAACGATATAAACGCTTTTAGTATTTATGGTTGAAACTGTCTCGCTGTTTTCTTTCTGAAACTTCTGATTTCAAAATAAAATCCACGTGTATCATGTGTGTACACACATGCTTCATGCTACATGTTTCCATCTGCTTCCCAAACAGAACGATACATTCTGACAGCATTTGTGTAGAAATATACCCGTATATTTATTAATATAGCTGCAATTTCGACATTATTCCGACAAACTATCCAGCCTAAAAGTGTCTTATTTTGAAAATACGGACGTTGTGCTCGTTTCTTTTCCTGTTGGTGTGACATAATCTTTAAAAATTGACTCCAGCGCAGCTCTGGCTTCCGTCAAAAATAGGATCTGTTCTAATTTTGACAGATCGCTGTCCGCTCGCTGCCGCCCTGCGCCGCCAGTGTAAACACTCTCATTGATTATAATGGGTGGTATTTGCTGCAGAGGTCGGACCACAGCGGAGCGGAGACGGAACGCATGTAGTGTAAATTGGGGGTTAGTCTGAACCCACCCATTTTTCAAGTGAGCAAAACCATTGGAACATGTGACTGAAGTGTTTATTGACCAGGTGTTTCCTGAACGTAAGTAAGTACCAGAACTCTACTAGAAAACAGATTTATTTTAGTCATAACTTGAGGCAGGAAGGAGTTGGCTGCACGAAACCTGAACGCCATACATTTGGAAAGATGTTTAAAAATTCGGCTTGGCCAAGAAAGCTCCGACCTACCTGGAAAAAAATCACTATTTTTAATTTGAGTGATAAAATCAGGGCTATTTGACCAAAAGCCACCATAAGTACCTCTGCAAAGCCCTTATAATCACAGAGTAACAGTCATTCAACTCATTTATGGACATTTGTCTGGGTTTTATTTATGAAAATGAATGTTTAGTTATGAAGAAAGGCCAGGCAGGGGAATATTCCCCTCTGGTGGTGAAACAGATCATTTCTTGAATTCCAAACCTCAGCAAGAACTCCGCCCCCCTCATTTGCATATTGGACCATGAAATTAAATGCCATGAAATAGTAAAACAGCGTGAAATAGTATAACTGAATAAAATAGTAAAACGGCATGAAATAAAAAGGGAATTCAAAATAAAAGTCCCTGAAATATGTAAAGTAGGTTTACAAAATAAAACTACAATATGTAATAAATA